GGGGAGAGGACGCCTCAATCTCAATCCCAGAGGACCCTCCTTGCAGTGCCCGCACACCTGGCCAACGGTGTGAAGGCTGTTGCTTCAAGTGCACTTCAACAGCCTCTGGGTAGGGCAAGCACTGCTGACGCATGAAAAACGGTTCATGCATGCAGCACAATGTCCGTAGGCGTGCGCGCTTCATGTTCCCTGAAAGAATGTACTCCCAGTTTACCTTTGAGGCAGTCTAGCGGAACAGGACTTGCGCAACCCATCCTGCCTTCCAGGCGTATGCGTCTCTCAGGTTAGCCCTTGCGCGGAAGTGGCTTCTTCCTGTACAAAGGTCGATGCACTTCCAACGCAACAGCCTTCACCATCTATTTCAAGCACATCCAAATCCCACGACCTCTATATCGGCTTGAGCAGAATGTTGTCGGAATCTGGGGAAACCTACAACTTAAAAACTCTCACACGTTGGCTGGACACACACTGAATTACTGGTATTTGACAGAAGGGACAAGGGTGGGGCTGCCCACGCCCGCTGCGCAGCATAGAAGGAGCACGCAGCGGCTGCAAGCAGCAGCCATCTGCCTCAGATCCCCAGATCCCAGGAGGTACGACCCGAGATGTTCAATCCTTGCTTAAAAGGGAAGTGAGAAAGCTCTACTTCTTACTTCAGGGCCTGAAGGAGTTTTAGGCCTTGTTACTAGAACATTTGGCACCGCAACAAGACCTTGCTTGAAGAAACCACATTCAAGCAGTGCTCCCAGAAGCATGAGTCGTACCCAAACACTTGAAATTCTGTTAGGTTCATGCGGCAGTTAGCCCATCAATAGCATGTCGACTTTTGCCACCTACACGGACCTATGCATTACAGGCAAGGCTTTTAGGGACAAATGGTCTTGCCTCATTCTAATAGAAAATTAAGAAACCTTCCTTCATTTCTCAACAAGGAGGGCCAAGCATTGAGACAGCCAACCCGGTAAGCTTGTCCTACATTGGACCGGGCAGATCATACAAATTGAGGAAGGACTCATCACAACTTGAAGGGTTCAAGGAGCTTCGTAAGCCACATAACGACCCCAGTTATCCCCGTGATTCGCCTGCTCAGTAAGTCCCAGTGAACCTCCAAGTAAGAATCTACCTGACTTTCAGCCCAGGAACTCGTGCGGAGTCGCGGCGCTCTGTTTCTGAATGCTTTGGCCATGGCGCCAGCAATCGTCTACAAAGGCTCAAGGGTTCAAGAGTGACCCTGATCTGTACGCACAATTTTATGGCGCACGGTGTAGAGTCCAGATATGAGAAGTCCTCGTCATTCATACGTAATGTTACAGAGACATAAATATGCACTACTATTGCGCGCGCTCTTCTCTAGCCATTGCTATCACTACGTTGGATGGAGGAATTCCTGCACCACTTAGTATCCCCACAATTTTGTAATTACCAATACCAGGGCTGTAAAAGGTAGCGCAAGATTTGAATCCCCAGTACTCTCACTATTACTATGCCTATCACCATGACAATAACAGGCACATGGGGTGTGCAAATGCGGCCCTAAGACGTTGAAACGACAGAAACACGTACATGAAGTGAGCTACCCAGCCGCATCTAAGCTTTCCGAAGCAATGTGCTGAGGCTTGAGGCCTTGGATAAGATTTTGTTTTCTCAGCCGGATTGCATCGAACCATCCACGACATGCAACCTTATCCAAGGATGAAAGGTCTCAGTACGCGGAAACGCTTCATGTGCGGACAAGTCTCCGCCTACCCTGCACACACACACACCATGAATGATGCCTTGCATACCTGCTCTACATCTGAGAACGCATCTCGAACCTGCCCGCCCCTATTTGCCTAGAAGCAGCTGCAATACAGTCTGAGACAGGCCCCTAATCCTCAGACATCTCAAATTCTCGCATCCCAGACATTCTGAACCAATTTGGACTGAGCGATCCCGTACACTCTGCGAAAAACTCAATGGAGCCGAGTTCTCCCGCCATCAAACTAGGGACACCTACGTATGGACCCCCGATCTGCAAAACCGAATGCAAAGACCAGCTTACCCTAATGACCAACTTGAACGTAGCGTTTCAAAAATATATGCTCAAATCAAACTGGTACGTGTTCAGCCTCTTGCTGTACGCCTCGCAAAAATCCAGTTCACAGGGCGACCACAACCCTAAACCTGTCTGAGGTTTTGAATCACGATTTCGCTTCGTGCTGAAACCGTTCTACGCTTTTCACAAGTAATGCCATCCCCCCAAATTGATCCCCCCTAACGTCAAAGAATCATTCCCATCGTGGTATACCATAAAAATAGAAGATGTCTTGTACTGGGGGGAGGGGCATTGCGGAGTTTCAAAACTTAGTTAGGGATACTTAACAAAGGGGGTGCTGTTCAAAGGGGATTGCAGTGTAGGGTTACACAGGGTCAATTCTGTGAAGCTCCTGATGAGCAAAACAAACGTTCATGTAGCAGTACAGATTGGAGCATCCTAGCATTCCTAGCATGCACAGAGAACAAAAAAAAAATGCAGCTGCTTTTCAAGCTCTAGCTGACTGTACAGTCTCATGTCTTTGATGCTCCGAGCCGCGAAAGCCTGAAGCAAGATGGGTTCATGCCAGGGCTTGCTTTCAGGAATGGTGCGGCAGTGTGAGGGTAGGGAACAAACAAAAGAGGGCCACAACAGAGTTGCTACAGGATTCCATCGGATACTTCAGATGTCACTCCAGGACCTTGCAAAGATCGCTCCCCACTGAAGCCTTAGGTCTAGGCTTCAGGGCCCCATGCTCTGAGAAAATGCAAGCTTTCTGGGCCCTTCTCTTGGGATTCTGTCAAGCAGGCATTCCAAGCATTTTGCAGGTGTGTCGGGATCCCCTGAGTTCACGTTCATGAGGCGCCCGCAGGATCTTACTGCATCTAACTGAGCAAGCCGCAGGCGCAACATGTTGTTTGGATGCACAGACATGTACATAATTCCAGAAACATGTCTGCCTGAAATCCGAAGCCCTCAACAACGGTGTATCCAGGGCTGACCATGACCTCATCTGAAGTGTGTCCTTTATCACGTGAGGTTGCGGAGCTAGGGAACCCAGAGCCACTGGCCATTATGTGGACTTCTCGAAATCACCGGTCCCTGCTTTGGGGCTTGGAGACGTAGGGGCCAAAATCGAGAACCCAACATACTAAAGCGCTTCTTATGGTGACTCCCCAAAAGGGGAGCCCCTTCTTTGTTGGAAATCCATATTTGTGTGTGAGGGGGGGGTTCTGCGTAACAACTCTACCCACTTTGCAGCGCCTGTCGTGACATCACTCCTTGTACTCCAGGTTGAAGAACCTGGGTTTACGGCAGCTGCGCGCAGTTCCCCACAAACCGATCCAGGCTGAATGCTTCATGGTGCGGTTTAGGGTTGAGGGTTTAGCCATCATTTTCAGGCGCGCCCTCTCCCCGAAAGGCACACACAAAAGGCACGTGTTCAGCTGACCTAGCCACTGCCATGCTTCTTACCAGCTTACCACTTCTGCACGGACATTTTCAGCATATGTTAAATCCCCGTGCCAGCACACAAAGGAGCAGATCTTGATTACGATCTAAACCTTGCAATATCTTGGTAATTGTCACAAGCTGAGAAACACCGTGCATTACAAGTACCACGGGGTGCAAGGCTACCCTGAAATTGCAGGCACGCTGCTCAGAGGACAGCGCCACGGCGGCCTTGCAAGCAGGGCGCCCCACAATTGGCCAAAATACCGAGACCCTGCATCTACCCGCTAAATGCCTATTAAAAGGGACCATATACCCCTATTCAAGGGCACAAGGAGGGTCCTGGCACTTAGGGGTTGGGGCTGAAAGATTCGGGTTTGGAGTTTGGAGTTTAGGCTAGGAGCCTGAATCTACAGAATAGCGGAGAACCCAATGGAGCATAGCATGGAGAATGACATGGGGCCCCGGGAAGTAGCATGCAACAGTTGAACTTCAAGGGATACAGGGGAACAATACTGACAGTTCTTGACGCTCGACAGTGAGCACTGGGCATGGATGCATCTTGGACTAGCGCAGCGCTTCAGATATTAACATGTGATGCTCCTCTATTCCACTAGGGAAATTCAAAAACAGAATCCCTTTTTGGAAGTGCCTGTAACAATATGCAGGGGACGCTTCTTCGTAGAAGCTACCATGTTGCGAACGGGGAACAAGGCACGTAAAATGAGACTAAGAATCCGAGGAGCTGTACTGGACAAAGCCTAAACTTTAGGGGGGAGGGTTTAGGTTTCAGGGTTAGGATTGGAGAGTCAGCAGACATAGTCAACAAGTAAATAGTCTGGATAATTGGCGCTAATTCCTGGCCCTCTAAGTAGCATCTACGGCCAGGTAGGGTTTGGGTTTTAGGGGGCTAAATTCGAAGAGTGGAGAGTCACGTTGAAAAGAGAAAGTTGACATGCCATGGAAACAAGCATTGCGCAGAGACAAGTAAGGGATTTTTTGCAGCATGAAAACTAGAGTAGTGGAAAAAGAAATTGAAAATCCATGACAGTGGAATAGGGTTTGGTGTGCATTATACTAACACGTCCCGGCCCTTGTCAGAAGCGTGCCTACACTACACCTACACCGAGAACCCTGAACCGGGGAGCTCTCCTTCAGCAAGGAACATGTGGGGGTGTAAGGAGGGCCTTCTGACTTTGAGAAACGGGAGTCTCCATAAAGAGCCCACAGCTACCACAACCCCTGCTGCAGGAACTTCCCAAGAAGGACCCCCATTTTTTGGACCACCCCACACACAATTGAGGGCTCAATCTCATAATCGCAAATTGGGTGACCTCCCTACAGCCTGGGCTCATCATCTCATCACGCTTATGATAGTCACTGTCCTCAGCATCTTGCTGGCTGACAAGGCGTTTTGAAGCTACTTAGACGGCTTCGCAATGCCGTCCACTTGTCGAACAGAAGCTGCTCCGGCGCTCGGCGCACTTGTACAGGCATGGATGGCTCGCCAAGGAACTTGATGGATGTCGGACAATTACTATGGCACGACAACGTCTTGCACGGCATTACCTCTTTTGAGGCGCACACAAAAACAGCAACACAAAGCCCAGCTCACCATCAGCATCGGGAAGCAGATGATGCCAAGGGCAAGCAAGCCGTAGAAGCCAGATTGGTCTCCATCATAGGTAACAACCTCTGTTCCCCCATCTCCGCCATATTGGCCATTGGGAGTGTCAGGGAAGTAGGGGCCTTCATCGATGATGTAGATGGAAGCACTGGGATAGAGTGACATCTCTTCGGGTCGGATTCCATAAATGGCGGTGCAGTATCCCATGTCTTCATAGCTCGAGATAAGCTCTATCTCTTGGTCCCAGACAGTCTTGTGGAGGCTAATAATGGACGCGCCTGCAGCTGCATGGAAAATGCCAGTCCTCAAAAAGAAGTACAATCCCAGGGGTGCATAGCTGCCTGGGTGCAAGTACACCGAAACATGGCTGTTCATGCCTGCTTCCTTCAACTTGTTTACCATGAGTCGTCCTGTTGTGGGATAGCCTGTCGCAAAGATCGATGAAGACTTCGCTGAACAAGAGGACATCCGCCAGGCATCCACCGAACGTTCTGCAGCGACATTGCTTTTGACATCGAAGTCAAATGCCACTGCGGGGTTGACGGCGCACGAATTTGCCACAGTCTCATCAAGGCTTGGCACCTTCGACGTAGTGTTGTAGGTGTATCCATCCACTTCGGCAAGTACTGTCAGAAGTTGTACTTCTGCCCAAGGCGTTGATTCAACAACTTTGTCCGCTCCTGTCATTCGTTGGAAGTTGCTGTCGTGGTGAAGAATGGCCACCTTGTCAGAGGTACTCATGACATCAACCTCAGGATTCGCGCCTAAGGCGGCAGCTCCTGAAACCACACTTTCTAGTGTGTTTTCTTGCCCATGCGTCAAGTTGCCCCGGTGTAGGAAGATCACTGGGCCAAACTGGCCATAGCACATCTGCCGTGGAGGAGCACGAGAACCGTAGAGCACAGCCAGTGTTGCAATGCCACCTCCTAGCCACACAAGCCCGCAACAACTGCTGCAAAGCAGGCCCAACACATTGCGAGAGCAGCACTTGGGCATTTTGGCACGGCTCTAAGCCGATCTTGCAGCCCGGCAGCTACTTCACAGCTGCTGCCCCTCCTACCTCACTGGCAAATGGATCCACTACCATAACCCATAATTCCGCTGGCCTTCAACTCATGAGTCTTAGTGTTTAAGACATGCTAAACCCACTCCACGTGAACAACTAATGACTGCGCTGCAGAAACACGGGCTGACATCCTTGCCAACCAGTGAAACAAACTCTGTCCGGCCCCTCCTTGCATTAGGCAATGTAACAGACAACACGAGAAAACCGTACTTTTTAGCCGGAGGTCATGTTCACAGCTCACAAGATCATTCAATGCGCTGGCCCAAAGCCGAAGACTTTTACATCTCTGATCCGCAGAAACCATGATCATTCATATTCGACAGGTGCAAGTAGGGTGCAACAATTGGGCTTGACGCTTGGCTGAGCATTGCTTTCGCATGACACAAGCCCAACCCATGGAGTGAAGGCTTCGACTGGTTTGCATGAAATTCTGTATACCAGCATTTCAGGAGGAATTTGCTTAAACTTGACATGGATTAGGATATTCAACGAATGCAAACTATGTCAAAATCTCGCGCTGGCGTGGCCTCGGGACGGAGGCTTGGATCATGTACGAGCAGATCGCGGACGAACTCGACGAACGCCTGACAAGGGAGTGTGTCAGCTCATGCTCAGTGGTCCTATGTGTCTAATAAGCGTGCCTAAGACTCGACACCAGGCTGTGACATGTTCATTCAAGGCTTATACTTAGCCTAGTTCCTGCAACTTCTGCGGCTTCACTCCGTAAACCAAAGGATGCGGCGGAAAACCTGAAGTTTGGGGTTTCAGGTTTGAGAGACTACGAGAGACTATGGACGGGGCAGCCTAGCGCGAGGGGCAGCGCCCCAGGACACCATCAAGCCAATCTAAGTTAACCATTTTCAGCCGCTTAAAGAGACCACGGAAAGTGTGCTCAGCACCGGGGGGGGCGTTCAACATTCGTGGGAGGTCATTCATCATCTGCAGTTCTCAGCGGCTGTGGGTAGGATTTTAGAATTCCACTCACTGGGGGTGTGTGGGAATAAGGGAGTATAATCCTGCTATTATCCCATCTGGTTTATTCCTTTACTCCCTACCAATTTCCAGTTTCCAAATTACGCTAAGACTGGAGATTCAAATGGAACATGACATGGAAATCCGAGGTCCCTGTAAAGGATGTGGGTTACATAGGGCTATTACCCCAATAATGGAGAACCAAATGGAAACCATGATGGAAAATGACATGGAATCTAGGATAAGATACTTTAGGCTGGATTAGAGGGACTGCGATTTGACAGGTCCCACAATCCCGTAATAAGAATTACGGTATTTGGCGGTCTATATTGGGGTCCTCCTGTGTATAGAAACTACCCGGACCAATTACATGGGGTAGACATCTTACACCCCGAACTCACGCTGTACCCCACAAGGGCTCATGTTCTTCATGCTCTTAAGAATGACGCCCTGAATCCCAATGACCCAGCACAACGCGAACAAATCCCCGACAAAGCAAAAAAACACCTGCGTGTGCGAAGATAGCGGTCCCATTCTGCAGCCTCGCCCCCCCTCCCCCCCCCACACCCTAAACCTAAAGACCTGAACCCTAGAGCCTCAAATCAACCCCCAAATACCAGCCCAGAGTTGCTGCTCATAAAGGAATTTTTCCAAACATGGGAGGTCCATAGAAACCAAGAAACCAAGAGAACTTCTAGGCATGTCTCAGCTAAGGATTACACGGTAGCTTCCAAGAATTCAGGACCCCTATATACCCCAAAATAGTAAGCCCCTCATCATGAGGGCACCTGAAAATCAGCCTCTAATCTTTATAACTTTATAAACTCCCATATATAGCGAGTGTTTTGAGAAATTCCGAAATCCTCACAGTGGGCCTGGTGGTCCTGCGGAGCTCGATTCTCAAGCTGCCACTGTCGGAATACATACCTGGACGCTATCGGCCCTGGAACTCTCTAAAAGGTCTTTAGCTGTCTGCTGGTGCTCTGAACGCCCAGCCCTATACCCTAAACGGATGCTGCCCACAGGATACAACGGTCAGGTATCCAGACATAGTACCTCTCTGCGGGGAGGAATAATTCTACGTGAAGAATAATGTCTGAGACCGCTAGAGAATGGGGGCCGTATCCAATACATACCTTCCCCAAAAATGGAAAAAGTCATGGAAACACCTTAAGACCTACAGGGCTTCTGAGTTTCAGTGGACGTAAAATGCCTTACGCAACCTCCAGCTTCTGAATTGAACTTCTACCGGTGGAAGAAACCCGGCACCACTTGGGAGTCCAGAGGCGCTATATAGGCCCCACTATATCTACCCTACCCCCAAACTAGCAGGGAATCCACATAAACCCTGCTCAAGGGTACAGAAGTCTTTATGGAGCCCTTCTTCGGGTTCCATGTTCGTCATGGAACATCGAAGATTATAAGTTTAAAATCCCGAAAAGCTCATCTGTCCACTGTCCCTCGTCTCAGGAGGTCCGGGTCGTCTGAGGACTCTCGGAACAGGTCTCTTCGGGGATTCCGTTTCTAGGGGCCTGCGGTCTGCGAGATCTGGACGACCCATGTTGAGAAACTTCAACTGCCTCTTAATGGAGATCCTAAACTAAACAGTCCTGGAGTCCACAGACCGGGTTTAGCTGATGAGCTCTTCAATTCTAAGCCCCAAGCCTTAGACCCTAAATAGCAGTTTCCATTTAATTTTCCATGTTCTTTTCAATTTGATTATCCATTATGCGTTTAAGGGTTGGGCTGTGTGGCCATCCTTAATTAGACTGTGCAAAAGGACTAGAACCTTTGATAAAGTGGTCTGCCAATAGTGTGAACAAAGAGGCCCTGTAAAAAGGCATCTTAAAGGAGGGTGACCTGTGTCCTCTTCACAGGACACCTGCTGAGTTTCCATGTGAGCTTCTGGATGGGGAAATAGCCACGAACCCGAAAGGCCAGGCTACTCCCAACCCTTATCCTGCAACATCGCCCCCCCAGCAGAAGGTCCTAGTGAAGTCGAAAGGAAACTACAAAAACCCGAACGTTGCGACTAAGGGCAAGGACAGAGCCAGCAGTTGAAGTTTAGCTCTGTGTACAGCATTCTATGTCTAGGTGTCTTGGCCTTCTCTCCTGCCTCTTCAATAGTCCCTACAAGCCAAAGCTTTGAGAGTACGGTGCCCTCTTTGATGATGCAGCGAGGTCACGCAATTTGTATGCAAGGACTATGAAGTTCCGGAGCTGCGATTTGAAGAAACTTTCATGAGTGCACACAAAGAGCGTCTATGCCGTTTATCATCCGTATTTATGAAACGGTGTAATGTGAAGCAACACCAGAAACATGCACCTCTGCACCACTGACATACCTTCAGGAGGAATAAAGGCCTGGACTGACACCCCTGCTATCAGCCCAAAATGCGAGATCCTTACCATCCTTACTGCTGGCCCCAAGCCAAGATTATAATTCGAAAGCTCGCCAGTTGTGCCTTAGGTGAAAGCCGTCTACAATGCCCCTACAACCAGTTCTAGCCGCTGTAGAAACCCGGGCCATTCTGAAGCATCTTACATTGAACGTTGCTCACCAAGTGCCTTGGATGATGTTTTTGCTGCACATCCAAATACCGGACCCAGTCTTACAGATCCAGGACAGGAGAAAGCTTGGGGAAAGCTGCGTGAAGCTGCTATTGCTTGAGCGGTCCTAGAAAATGAGCAGTTTTGGGCGCACGAAAGATTTAGGCGCCGAATAAAACGCGGGGGGGGGGGAGGGTGTTCCGTTCAGCTTCAATTGGGGAACTGATGCCTATCTTCTTGCAAGCCCCTCAAAGCATTTGAGGGATTGATCATATACAAAAGTATGTGCATAAATACAACGATTCTTACTTGTGAGGGGACCCCCTGAACTCAATAGAGCCCAATGCCAATTTCTGCCATGGGTACTGAATGGATTCTTCTGATTCTGCGGCCTGCAAAAGCGGACAGGAGGAAGGTTGAAGAGACTGGGGCTTAGGGTTAAGAGGTTAGTTCTAGGACTTTTCCCCAAGCCCCGAAGTCCAGAAGGCAACTCTGCAAGGAATCTTACGTGGAATTTAATCCTCAACCTCGAGGACTTGAACCCTGAACCCATCAACAGGCTTCAGGTTTATACGGCCTCGACTGGCAGTCCTGCACGCTTGATGCCCTTCCACATCATCCCAGCCCTTTGACACAAAGGCTCCTTGCTACCTGTGGGCTCTTACCACGTACAGAGAGGCCTCATGCTCATCAAGAACGTGTTCACATGTACAAAGAGGCTCAACCTTGAACCCCAAGCCCTGCACCCTACACCCTACACCCCAAGTAAATCCTGAACTGCTTAGACTCTGGACCGGAAACTGCTTCAGCTCCAAACCGGGATTTGCTTAAACATTGAGCCCCATGCCATATGAGCTACAGTCTGAACTCCTTGCATCCCCAAATGGTAGGCCCTGTCATAGGATCCCCATATAATCCCCCATATGACCCCTATAAGGAGTTTAGATTAAAGCTCATATGCGGCCATATGATGCCAAGCCCAGCCTGCTACTACACCCAACCTGGGTTGACACTAATTCCCTCTCCTATTGGGCTGCCGTGCGGGGACTTAAAAGGGTTTAGGGCTAAGGGTTCAGGAACTCAAAAAAAGTTAGGGTTTAGGGTTAATGAAATTCAAAAGAAGCTACCGTAGTGGAGAGCCAACTGGAGAGGAACATGGAACATGAAATGGAAACCGTGATTCTGTAGCGGTTACATAGGGACTCAATGGCCACAACCTGGATCCGCGAAAAACAGGGTCAAAGGGGATATATATGAGTTCTCCAGGATTTACGGCAGTAATGTAGATATCTGTATATGTACGCTCGATGATGCGTTTTCCTTGCGATGGCAACTTAGCTGAAGTTCCACAACAGCAACACAGAGTACAGCTCCCCATGTTGTAAGGTTGTAGCAATTACCGTGTATT